TTTCCCTATTAATTGGTAATATTGTTCACCACACCTTTCTTCGTCGTCAAAGGGTTTTCTTTTCCACTTCTTCTACTTCTTCTTGTGTGTTATTTCAACTGAAAGATGTTTTTTCGGTTTTTCTCCTTAACATTGTTATTATGTATAATTTTTGCTCTTTTAAAACCATCTCCAAAAAGATAACCACTGGCCAAGAGTTGGGGTAAATGGGACAGTCTCAGATTTCTTAATTTTCTCAGAGATTTTCACATGAATCAATTTCTAGTCTTCGCGCAATATTTAAGTGTTTAGGTACGAGAAGCATGGCATGATCAATACATAAATAAAGGATCTCGAGGGGTTTGTTAGCGGCTTAAAGTCCGAAGACTTTGGTAGTGCCACAAGCGCCCAGGGAAAACTCATGAAAACCACGAAATATCTGCATCATGTTAACCGAGAGGGGAGTAAGTCTTCATCAAACCTCTTCCAGAGGATTTCGCGTAATTTTTTACCATGAACAGGAACGAGCAGCTTATGTCTTTTACCTCCGGAGGCAGTGCATTGAATAGGATCGGAGCGCGGTACTCAAAAAAGTCCTTTTGTAGAGCTCAAGTCTAGGCCAAGGTACAGGAACCTGGATACCTCTTCTATCTAATCTTTGTCTACGCGATGTAACCTGTACTCATAGAGATACTGCAGGGGCATGACTCTCCATTCCTGGAAAACTCCCCTCACCGATTCCCATCTTTTCTTTCCCATCAGTGCTCTCAGTGCCTTGCGCTGCACAATCCCGACTACATTCAAGATTGTCACGCATGCCCCCCTCCCCAGTTTGTCAAGCCATAGGACAGGCGACTCTCCACACAAGCCTGATAGAAGTTTTTCTTGATCCCTTCAGGGCACAGTGTCGACAGATCATAACACCCTCTTATTAAGGGGAAAAAGTGATGTCTTCAACTTATCCACTTGGGGCCTCCAGCTAAGCTTAAAGTCTATTTCCACTCCCAAATATCTCGCACTCTCTACCACAGGGATCTTTATGCAGTGCGCGTCGCACGCCCCCACACCACACCACGGAAAACACCACTCTCCTCACGCACTCTCACCGCCTGCTCTCGCCCACCCAAGTATGACCTGATCATATCCAGACTGTGCCCCCTGAAGCCAAGGCAATTCAGCTTTTCCAGAAGAATCTCGTGGTTTACTGTGTCAAAGGGCTTTGAAACGTCGAGAAAGAGACTCGCTACACATTGCCCCTCATTAACTCCCCTGTGTATTCTGGCCAGCACCACCTGTATGTTTGTAGTCCTTAAGGGACTACAATTGACGAAAATTTGCAAAGGATTTGCCTTGACTGTTTAGATAAAAATAAGTGATCGGGAGTATATTCACTCCAATATCGAAGAATGTTATTAACTTTACAATATGGTATCAAAATAATGAGTCTCCAGGATCATGCAAATTACACAATTTTTGATAAACTCTGATGAATTACTGGCACAAAGAGGAGTTATTTATAAATTTAAGACATTATGCAATGAACTTAAAATCCCAATAGAAAAGGTACTTAAAATCTATAGAATAAGTTGGAATCCACAGTGGGCCAAATCCAATTCACACAGAAATGAAATTAGTAAATAATTATCAAAAAAAAAACATTGTAAAATATAAAAAAGAATTGGAGGAAATTTTCACTATACATAGAAATAGTAATATAATTTTTACAGACGGATCTAAGACCAATGAATATACAGGATTTGGAATTTATTATAATGATGAAATTTCACAGACACATAGAATTCCAAAAGAGTGCTCAAATATTCTCTGCAGAAGCATATGCAGTTGAAACAGTTTTACATGAAATTAAATTGGCAGAAGACACACAAAATGCAGAAAATATTGTAATATTCATAGATTCTCTTAGCGTTGTTCAGTCTATCCAATCGGGAGAGGCTGACAAATCTCCAATTATTGATAACATAAAATACTTAGCTAGAAACATAAACGCACAAATATCAATTATTTGGATTCCTGGACACTCAGAAATTGACGGCAATGAAGAAGCTGATAAAGCCGCAAAAGAAGCAGTTGACCACGAAATAAATGAAAAAATTCTTGATTCTTGATTGAAGAACAAAATAAAAGAAAAATGGAATCAAGAATGGAATAACATTGTTAATGATCCGCGCTCAGAATCTGTGAGGAGATTTCATAAGATTAAAAAGAATGTATCTCTCCATGGGCCACATCCATTAGAGAAAGATAGAAGAGAAGAAACAATACTTACAAGAATAAGAATTGGCCATTCAAGATTAACACATGGATATTTGATGGAAAGTGGATCACATAATTTTCAAATTGTAAGAAATATGAAGAAGAGAGAATTAGAAATAAAATTAATCAAGACCCAATAATAGCATTAGGAAATGATGATAGTGAAATAAGGAAACTGTTAAAATTTTTAAAAAAGATTCAAAAATTCAACATTTATTGTAAACTTCACGCCTGTGGAAACCATCCATTTTGCTGCCGAAATAATCTGTGTGTTTTCTCCATTAAAAAAGCCACAATTCGCGTGAAACACTATTACAGGATATTGAGAGTTAAGTAGAGATCTTAAATAAGGACGAACTTTTCCTCCTGATCACGGCCTTTTCAGTGGGTGGTGGAAAATGCACAAAAACCACCCAATGGGACAGATATAGATTCTTTCTGACTGACAACAGCGCGCTCTGACAATCTGACGCAACATCACGGTCGAAATATTCTTGTGGCAAATATTGAAGATTTTTCACAAAGTGCCGTTCTGTGCTGCATTGCTTCATCACGTTAAACGACTTCTTAGTTGAAAAGTGAGAAAATACACGCGAAAATCACTGATTAGAGTCCGTGCAAGGGTCCAGAAAAGTCGCGAAAATATTACTTTAAAGGCGATTTTTAGGGAATTAAACAGTTTCAGTGCGTAGAATAGATATCAAAGTGATCATTTGCCCGCGATTCAACAATTCCACAATGGAATTTATGGTAAATATAAGTGAAAATCTAGAACTGCCCCACAGCAATCCGAAACTGCCCCCGTGCGGGGCAGTTTCAGATAAATTACAATATTATTTTTAATCTCCTTTAGAGGAAAAACAATCAGTTTGAATGCCCAATGAAAGGCATTTTCTAAAGCTCAATAAACGAGAGTTTATTTGAGCATTGTGATCATTTCAATATATTTAGTCGATTTTTCAAGAAAAAATCCTAAAGTTGAAACAGCATTTTGAATCTGAAACTGCCCCACTTTCCCCTAGTGTTAAAAAAAGAGGCAATAAGTGAAAGAACTAAAAAAAAACTCATGTTTTTTCCTTATCTATTTACACATTTTATGCTTTGAAAAATAATTTGCTCAGTAGAGCTTTTGTTATTTGCTGGGCACTTGAACTCAACTGATGGAGAGATTATTTAATTAGTTTTTTTTCTATTTAATATTCATTAATGTTTATTATGAGGGGAGGGAGAAAATGTGTAACTAATAATGAAAATTCTACACGAAGCCGGACAGTTAGTTATTTGCTATGTTTCTTCACTAAATTAGATATATATATATATATATATTAAAAGGAAGTTTTGTATTATTTTAAGGCAGATTTATCCGCATTCTTCTGAGAATGTGAAAGAGAATGAGAGAAAAGAGTTGAGATTTCCTTGAAGTTTTGTGCGCAAAATATAATACAGAATTTTTGGAGTAATTCTCAGTCACATATAAAATATGTTAAAATTATGTTATATTGGTTTAACACACACTTTTGCTATTCTGAGTCAAAATTTCACTTCCTGACCTGAAAAAACGCTTTTTTGGATGAAGTTTTCGCACCATAACCTCAAAAAAAAAAGACAAAATCATCCCTTTATCAGTTGTCAATGAACTGAAAATGGCTTATTCAGTGTCAAAATCCTTCAGACTGATTTCTAAGTCAACATTTTCCCATGTTAACTGATTACTTTCGAGGTTATGTTTAACTTTTCCACACTTTGCAGTGCTTTTTGATATTGAAAGTATTAAAGAAAGAATTTATTGTATTAGAAAACCAATTATTCACTAGTTTGCATAACCTAGAAAAGTTTAATTATTGTTTTGGCGAGAAAAATCAAAGGAGAATTCAAAGAATCCGGATATTTGGCAGTAAAAAAAGCCTTGGTTCTGGCTAACATCTTTTAAGCCATTTTGTATCACCAGAATGTGTCATTTTACCACAAAAAGCAGATTGACAGATCTTAATCTGCAAATATCTTGCAAAAATCAATCAATCCACAATTGTGGCTTTAATTTTCAAGCATAAACATGAATTATGATTCCAATAAATTCTTTTTATCGCGGATTTACTGTTTATTAATTTGTATTTTAATAATTATGCCAAATTTCATCATTTTTTCCTCTTTTACACAATGTGTAAATCGCTTAAAACTCTAAAACATTGTTTTTAAGCGTCTGTTAAACATTTTATATGTTTGAAATTTAACACTTTTGTGTATTACTGAGAATTGCTCCATTTTTTTATTAATAAGAAAATGTGTCCTTTTCTTCAGTGAAATTCATCTCTTTCACAATCCTTAATCGTAAAAGGATGTTGTTGCTTTGTGAAGTGGCGTTGGTTTTTTTTTTGTAAATTAGAAGAATGAGGAGGGAAATAATATCACATATTTTTCAGCACTACAAAAAAATGTCACTTAATTTGTATTTTGAACATTTTTTATGCACGTCCGGCTTCACAAAACTTAAACCTTAATTAATTAAAGGACACAAAAGAATTTAAGAACAAAAAAAATGAGCTAAATTTGAGAGAGAGAGAAAACAAAAAGAAATATTATTATTATTATTATTATTATTATTTTTATGCATTCAATTCACCTATATTGCTTCTGCAAAAAACACAACACTAAATCATAGTTTTCTCCCCTTTTTTTCGTCATCTTCATCTTCTTCATCTTCTTGCAATGCTTGTCCGGGGGATGTTTTGTTGATGGCCAAAAAGTAAGTTTTATAGTTTTCAAATACATTTCTTGTACTAAATTTTGTAATGTATTTTCTTTTTTAGTTTTTTGTTTTCAATTATTTCAACTACAAATATTAATGAAGAAAAAATAATTATTATGCTTATTAAAAAAAAAGAAGAACAGCATTCAACAATAAGTTTTAGGGGTTTAAATTAGATTTTCTTTTTTACTCCTCTGAATTTTTCCTTCTCTTCTTAGTGTGGTTTTTTCCTTCTTCTTCATTTTAAACGTATTCTCTTCTTTGAAATTCCGTTGAAATTTGTCAAGATTCTTTTTTGCTAAATATTTCTACACATTATTTTCACATTTCATCATCTTCTTCTTCATCTTCTGTTCACACAATTTTCTTACTCTTACTTTTTAACGAGTTAATTAATTGATGGTTTTTTTTTTTATTTGCCTCGTTTTGTTACTAAATTCTTGTGTTTTTCTTCTCTTTTTTTTTCTTCAATTTTTGCATAATGTGTGAAACATTTAAAATATACAAGTTTTTTTCTTTTCTTTTCTTTTCTTTTATCATCTTCATCTCTATATTTAGACACTTTTTGTCCGTACTAATTTTAGTTAATTTTTCATCTCTTGTGATCCCACAATTATTTGTGTGTCTCTTCTTTTCTTCTTCTTCTTCTCATTTACGTGTCAAAAACTATTAAATTTTCTCTCCTTTTCTCCTCATCACACAATTTTTCTCTTCCTTTTTTATCTCTTTTGATCAATACTTGTGGAATATTTCGAGAAATAAAGTGTTGATGATGAAAAATTATCTCAATTTACGCGTTTACAAATGATTTCGACATCTTCGTCTTCACTCTCATCTTCTTCTTCTTCATTTCTGTGTCTCTTCAAAGGAAACACAAACAAACAACATCCCCTTTTATTTACCAAATGTTGTAGAGATCAGACCAATCGGAATCATCGCTATCAGAGAGATTTGAATCTACTTCGTATGCTTCAATAAAGTCCCAAAATATCAATTGCTAGAATGAAATTAAGACATTTTGTGAGCAATCTTTCCAACACACACATTGGAAGGCCCAGAAGATTGCAAGAAGTCGATTTTTTTGTGACTGTTTATGTCACATTTTTTGGATAATTTCAAGGGTTACTCAAGTGGGTGAAAAATGATTCTCCATTCATCACATTTCCTTAATATTTCTTCAATTCATTCCTACGAATTGCTGTCAAAAAATCCATTCTCAATTCATTCTTCGAAATATTCTTTCCCTCCAAAAATCATTCGAAATTAAGTCTTCGAAATTGTCTAGTTGGTAAGAGATGTACCACATTTTAAAGCCCAAAATGTAATTTTTCACCTTATTTCCTACTCGACGGGTGAATCGGACTATTGAAAGTCTGTTTGGATTGATCTTAATGTCTTTCATCGGCAAAAATTAAAGAAATACGATTTTTCTTAAAAACTCTCGCGTGTAGAAAATTTCTCAATGTTGCGTTGAAAAGTATGAAAAGTCGACTTTTGATAGTTTACGCCCAAGGGGCTAATCACTAGCGCAAATTGAGACCATTAACTTTGTGATTATTCCATCTTTTTCCTCGATTATTTCGTGATTTTTACTCAACTTTTGATTATTTTCTCAATATTTCATTAAAATTTGATTATATTTTGAATTTCTCTTTATTATTTCCTGATTATTTCATTAAAAATTAATTATTTTATACAAATTTTGATTTTTTGTACATTTTTTTATTGATTTCTAAATATTTCTTTAAAAAATTAATTATTTTATACAAATTCTGATTATTTTTTGATTATTTTCTGAATATTTGATAAGAATTTGATTATTTTTCAATTTTACATTGGAAAATATTTATTTTTTTTATTATGTCATTCAAAATTTGTTTGCTTTCTCAACTTTACTTTGGAAAATATATTCATTTTTGGATAATTTTATTCAGAATTTGATTATTGAGATTTTTATGTAATTTTACTTGGGATTTTTTTTTACATTTTTTTTTTATTCAAAATATGATTATTTTTCAAATTTTTCTTGAGAAAATATTCATTTTTTTATTTTTTTTTCATTCAATTTTTGGTTATTTTAATTTTTTTTGTCATTTTTTTTGGGAAAATAATTTTTTTCAATTATTTTTCAATTTTTGTGTGAGAAAATATTCATTTTTTGACTATTTAATTTAGTTATTTTGCTTTTTTTTGTGATTTTACTGCGGGAAAATAATGTTTTCTTTGATTATTTATTCAAAATTAGATTTTTTTTTGCAATTTTAGTTGAGAAAATAATCTTTTTTTTATTATTTAAATCATAATTTGATTATTTTTTCAATTTTTTCTTGGGAAAATGATGGGCAGGAAAAATGTAAAAAGTTGATTTTTACGAATTGTTTGAAAAAAAAGTACACAAAAATTATCAAAAATCGTCTTTTTGTAGCAAATTTCTTCCAATTTGTCAATTAATTCTTCGTATTTTAGTTAATATTTCAAACAAATAACAGTGGAAAAATCTGGGAAATTCTGCATAAAAATAGAATTGAGCAATTTTATCAATTTACTGAAAGATAACAGAGAGTTTATGGAAAAATTAGTAAAATTTCAAAGCAAAATCATCTCTCAAACTTCAAATTGCTGCCTTTTGATAGTCTTCACGGCACCCGTCGTACTATACTCGTTTGGAATGTTGCCAATATCATATGTTTGCATACTTTTCCTTCCATTTTCATACACTAAAATGTCAATGTGTGTGTAAATGTATGAAAATGGAAGGAAAAGGATGTGAAAATATGATATTGAAAGCTTCCCAAACGACTATAGTAGGAAATAAGGCGAAAAATTACGTTTTCAGGTTTTAAATGGGAACTTAAGAGAAATTTCAAGCACGAGGGTGAATATTAAAGGATTTAAGAAGAAGGTTAGGAAAAAAACTTAGAGAGAGAAAGGCAATTCTGAGTCTAAGATGGGATTATTAGAGATAATTCTTGAAGAGGAAATTATATTGAGTATTTGGAAAGAGTTTTTGGGGGTAAAAATTCCGAATATTCCTCGGATTTTTCGATTTATAATATTATCCATTCCTGCCATTCCCATCCATTCTTCCATTCCGTCATATCCCGGCCTAAATGGTTTATACATTCTTCACTTGAGTTTAACCCTTGGATAATTTGCAATATTTTTGTACAAAATTAACAACTAGAGAATATTTACTAACTTTTGAATGCACAATAAATGACATCAAAGCGTTGGAATCCTAGAATTGCTCAAGATGGATAAAAGTGTTTTTCATTCTTAAGAGATTTCCTTTTATATTCCAAGGGTTGCTCAAGTGGGTGAAAAGTCATTTCCATTCTTCAAATTTCCATAATATCCATTTCCATTCCTTTCCATTCGATCTATTCCCATCCATTCTTCGGAATATTCTTTCCCTTTGAGACTTATTTGACATTGAATGTATGCAAAATCGTCTTTGAGAGAAAGATTTTTGCACAAATTCCAGCGAAAATCGAGATCTTAAAGTGTCGCGGGTTCGATTCTTCTTCAATTCGCGTTTTTTTCGCTACTTTTCTTGCCTTTTTCAAGCATTTTCCCTCAATTTCTTCAAGAATTCTCTCTAATAGCGCAATTTGATGGGCCGAAATTGCTTATTTTTCACTAAATTCTTACTCCTGACATTCTTTTTAAAGCTTTAATCTTTATTTGGGGGCTTGAAATTATTCTAAATGTTCGAAAATGCTCTAAAAACTTTGAAAGTTTTTAGGAAATCATAGAGAAATGTGTGAAAATGGAAGGGAAAATGGCGCGAAAATGCGAGATTTTAGTAGAAAATCTTTTATTCTGAGAGGAAAACGGAATATTTACAACATATTCTGCGTATTTCTTCAGTTTTTTTTCATGTTTTATTCTGTCAAGAATTTTATCCATTCCTGTCATTCCCATCGATTCTTTCATTCCTTGATATTCCTGCTGAAGTGTGCTTCATCCATTCTTCAACTTGAGCAACCCTTGTTATATTCCATAATCCATTCCTAGAATATTCTTTCGAATAATTACAAAAAAATATTCCCTCCATTCCCAAATTGAACTTGAATTTATCCAAATTGTCTTTGACAGAAAGACTTTTGCACAAGATCGTGAAGTGTCGCGGGTTCGATTCTCTTTCAATTCGCATTTTTTTCCCTTCTTTTTCCTTTTTCATGTATTTTCCTTCACTTTATCGCTCTATTTCAGCATTTTTTCATCAATTTCTTCATCTGATGCTCAAAATTGCTTTTCTCTCAGAGAGAGAAAATTTTTTTCTCACTTTTTAATGCTTTAATGTCAATTCTCGGTGTTGAAAATTTTCAAAAAACTCTTTTTTAAGCTTCAAATTGTAATTTTCCATAAAAGTCGTTGAGAAAGCTATTAATATTGCAATTTCGCGTCCTTTTCCTTCGCACACTGAGTCGTCATGGGTTCAAATCCAGCTCGCGGCAAATTTTTTCCCCTTTTTCACACCACAAATTTAATCAATTGACTAATTTGGAGGAGTTTGAATGGCTTTCAATAAATAATTATCCATAATAAACCTCGCAAAATGTTATTCGTGAAGGAAATGAATTTAAAATCTGAAGTACTAAATTCTCATTCTTTTATCCCACGTTAATAATATATTTCATGGAATTTTCACTTATATTCACATTAATTAATCCAATCCTCACTTGAGCAACTCTCGTGAGAAATTGACTTTTGATCATGACATTTAAAACATCTTGCAATCCCCTGGGAAAAGGCCCACAAGAGAGAAGGAAAGAGAAAGAGAAAACTCACCTGCAGAATCTCCACTTCGTTCGGATGACTTTGAACGAAGCGACGCCGCGGAGCACCCAAATCCACCAGCTTGCCATCCCTGTCGGCGTGCTTGTAGAAGCATTTGTTGCCAAATGGACAAGAACCGCTCCCCTGGCGAAGCAAAAACACACACGCACAATTAGTCACAACACTCACAATACAGGAAAAGAAAAGGATCTGCCAAGGATTGTTTTCTTCTTACCTTTTTGTAGTATTTACAGTCTTTCGCATTGAGAGCCGCCTTGTACTCCTCAATCAGCTTCGCCTTCTCCTCCTGCGTGTCCACCCAATATGTGCTAGGACACACGAAATCTGACGCCACGCGGCATTCGGGACAAGCACTGCAAGAGGGCAAAATTTAACATGAATTCTTTCAAATTCACGGGTGCCGTGAAGACTATCAAAAGGCAGCAATTTGAAGTTTGTGAGATGAAATTGCTTTGAAATTTTACTAATTTTTCCATAAACTCTCTGTTATCTTTCAGTAAATTGATAAAATTGCTCAATTCTATTTTTATGCAGAATTTCCCAGATTTTTCCACTGTTATTTGTTTGAAATATTAACTAAAATACGAAGAAATAATAGACAAATTGGGAAAATTTGCTACAAAAAGACGATTTTTGATAATTTTTGTGTAGGGGTAAGTGGGGCAGCTTCAGATTCAAAATGCTGTTCCAACTTTAGGATTTTTTCTTGAAAAATTGGCTGAATATATTGAAATAATCACAACGCTCAAATAAACTCTCGTCTATTGAGCTTCAGAAAATGCCTTTCATTGGGCATTAAAACTGATCCTTTTTCCTCTAAAGGAGATTAAAAATAATATTGTAAATTATCTGAAACTGCCCCGCACGGGGATGTTTCGGATTGCTCTGGGGCAGTTTCAGATTTTCACTGATATTTACCATAAATTCCATTGTGGAATTGTCGAATCGCGGGCAAATGATCACTTTGATATCTATTCTACGCACTGAAACTGTTTAATTCCTTAAAAATCGCCTTTAAAGTAATATTTTCGCGACTTTTCTGGACCCTTGCACGGACTGTCAAAATGTCTGAGCGAAAAGCAAGTTGCCCGTCATTTTTCCTGTGTCGCAACGCCACCATGCGTGAGTGGTGGCAACTTGACGCGCCGCGAAAGTGCCGCGCAAAATGTGCTCGAAAATTCTGCTCTAATCAGTGATTTTCGCGTGTATTTTCTCACTTTTCCACTAAGAAGTCGTTTAACGTGATGAAGCAATGCAGCACAGAACGGCACTTTGTGAAAAATCTTCAATATTTGCCACAAGAATATTTCGACCGTGATGTTGCGTCAGACTGTCAGAGCGCGCTGTTGTCAGTCAGAAAGAATCTATATCTGTCCCATTGGGTGGTTTTTGTGCATTTTCCACCACCCACTGAAAGGGCCGTGATCAGGAGGAAAAGTTCGGGCATATTTAGAATCTCTACTTAACTCTCAATAACCTTTGATTGTGTTTCACGCGAATTGTGGCTTTTTTAATGGAGAAAACACGCAATCAATTCGGCAGCAAAATTCTAGTTTGTGAGTGATTTTCAATTTTCACTTATTTTATCTAAACAGTAAAGGCTATCCTGTGCAAATTTTCGTCAATTCTAGTCCTTAAGGACTACAAACATTGTGTGAAGACCAGGAATTTATTCATGTAAAAATCTCTGAGAAAATTAAGAAATCTGAAGCTGCCCCAATCTGAAGCTGCCCTATTTACCCCTACTTTTTTTTCAAACAATTCGTAAAAATCAACTTTTTACATTTTTCCTGCCCATTATTTTCCCAAGAAAAAATTGAAAAATAATCAAATTATGATTTAAATAATAAAAAAAAGATTATTTTCTCAACTAAAATTGCAAAAAAATATCTAATTTTGAATAAATAATCAAAGAAAACATTATTTTCCGGCAGTAAAATCACCAAAAAAAGCAAAATAACCAAATTAAATAGTCAAAAAATGAATATTTTCTCACACAAAAATTGAAAAATAATTGAAAAAAAATTATTTTCCCAAATAAAATGACAAAAAAATCAAAATAACCAAAAGTTGAATGAAAATAATAAAAAAATGAATATTTTCTCAAGAAAATTTTGAAAAATAATCATATTTTGAATAAAATAATAAAAAAAAACAAATTCCAAGAAAAATTACATAAAAATCTCAATAATCAAATTCAATAATAATCAAAAATGAATATATTTTCCATAGTAAATTTGAGAAAGCAAATAAATTTTGAATGACATATTAAAAAAATAAATATTTTCCAATGTAAAATTGAAAAATAATCAAATTCTTATCAAATATTCAGAAAATAATCAAAAAATAATCAGAATTTTGTACGAAATAATCAAAATTTGTATTAAATAAATAAATTTTTTAAAGAAATATTCAGAAATTAATAAAAAAAATGTACAAAAAATCAAAATTTGAATAAAATAATTAATTTTTAATGAAATAATCAGGAAATAATTAAGAAATATTCAAAATATAATCAAATTTTAATGAAATATTGAGAAAATAATCAAAATTTGAGTAAAAATCACGAAATAATCGAAAGAAAAGATTGAAAAATCATAAAGTTAATGGTCTCAATTTGCGCTAGTGATTAGCCCCTTGGGCGTAAACTATCAAAAGTCGACTTTTCATACTTTTCAACGCAACATTGAGAAATTTTCTACACGCGAAGGTTTTTAAGAAAAATCGTATTTCTTTAATTTTTGCCGATGAAAGACATTAAGATCAATCCAAACAGACATAAGACGTCAATTATCAAAAAAAACGACTTTTAATAGTCTTCGATTTGGATAATTCCAAAAGGGATTTTCACTTTAATTTGCATCCATTCCTGGATATTCTTTAATATTCTGACCAAAAATGGAGCAATCTTCGCAAATATTAAATAAAAATGATTTCAAGATTCAATAATGACACCATAAAAAGTGTCTATGTTTGAAATTCAACTGTTTTTTTCTCAAATTTCTAGAGAAACGTTACAAGAAAAGAACAAAAAGCTTGAATAATTGCTAAATCTTGAAAATTCTCCTAAAACAAATGCGGATTATCATCACAACTGTTTTATGTCTTTAGAAATTCAGAATTTTCCTCAGGCAAATTCCCAGAATTCTTCATGACACAACACAAGACAGACTTTTCCGTCTATTTTCTCTACCAAAAGCTCTCCAAAAAGAAGAAAAAAAAAGTGCTGAGAGTGGAAATATTTCACGGAAATGCAAATTCCAAGCAAGAATTTCGCCTTCAGCAGAGAAAAAAACAACAACAACATTGTGAAAATTATACTTAAAAGACTTACCGGATGATTTTGTTGTCGAACTGCTTGGCTTGTCGCCACTTCCTGATGCACTCCAGGCAGAAGATGTGATTGCAATTGGGCAGGATGCCGAAGCGTTGATCGCGTCCGGACTTCTCCATGATCACCTCGAAGCAAATGCCACAGAGTTTGTCCTTGGAGCGTGCAATGGCGAATGACAGCTCCATGTCCTTCTCGTGCTGCCGAATGCACTGCACATTGTGACTCTTGCGCTGCTCCTCGTCCGTGGGATGCAGACAGAATTGCTGACAGAGATCGCACAGATCGCCGTGTGCGTACACGCACGCCTCGCCGTAGGCGCAGTGGCCAAACTCCTCATTGATCTTCACGTAGGGACACAGCTCCAGCACAGGTGCTGCGGCGAACTCCTCCTCTGTCGTCGCCACCTCCTCAGCGTCCGCCGGGGCGTTTGGATCGCGACACACGTCGGCGTAGCTGAGCTTTGACTCTTCGCCATCGCTGATGCGCTGTTTGGGCACAAAGACGGGCGCCAGGACCCAACTCTGTGGATCACCCGGATTGATGACGGCCGCTGTGGATGTGCTGGCCACAGGTGGACGCTTCTCGGGCGCCTCCGCTGCCTCCGGAGGTGTGTCAATGTGGGCAAAGCGACAGCAATCGCCAAAGCGACACATTCCCTTGGCGTAGTACGCACACACGACAGATTTACTAGATGTGCCGGCTCCTGAGGCCGTGGGCAACCTCAAGCGGCCGCTGGATGACATTGCAAAGTCCCTGGACAATAACTGTACAACCTTCCCGGACACACTGCGAAGGACTCTTCTGCTGACACACACGAGCGCGCGGTGTTGATTTACTCGGGCAGAAGCAACTCAGGAGACTTCCTCAGCATGCTGCAATGTCCGGACAGTGGGGTGCTGAGATTGGGGCAGCAGCTGCAATTTGGGGGCACGTGGGGGAAGTGTCTTTCTTTCTTTCTTTCTTAGCGCGTTTATACCACACTCCAGAGACTCACACAACAGAAATTTTACCTAAAAATTATACACTTTTCATCAGATTTCTCCCACATTTTCACACACTCTGGCTGTAGATTGACAAATTGTGAATTGACTTACAGTGCAAGATGGACTTCTTCTCCTTGATTTGTGGACTTTTTCAGCGAAATTTCACAATCTTTCTTCCAATGGGGAACTCACGAAAAGGTGGGCAAAGTGTCAAATAGTGCCAATGCTGGGCACCGAGTGGCGCTGGTGGATGTTGAGGGGTAAAACAGTGTTTGTGTGTTTGCATGGTAGAAAATATCTCTTCACATTTTACACGGGTAAAAAAAATGTGTAAAAAATGTGAAAATCAGAGGGCTGAGTGTTGAAAATGGTCAAAATCAGAATCAACAGAACCTCATCGATTTTTAACTTGTTGACATGATCACAATTTTGAAAGTTTCGTGAGTCTTTTGAGTCAAAATCAGCCTTCGGAATTTTTCGGGAGGGAAAAAGGCTTTCGGAACGCAGGCAGAAACGTCTTTTTCTTGCTTTGATTTGGGCCAAGTTGCGGTGTTTGAGGCATAAAATGATAAAAATGCTCCTCAAACTTAACTTTTACCCCCCAAAGAATCATCATCAGGGTGTCTTCAGCGCCTTAAGAAGGCTAAAAATTAACCCTCAGGCGACAAATATGTGAATAATGTGCATTATTACCGTACAGATTTTCAACCCCCAAGATCTCCTAATCATGGTGGCCTCTGGGAAGCGGCGATTAAATCGCTGAAGCATCATCTACGTAGAACGATGGGAAATGCCAAGCTCACATTCGAAGAACTGACCACCATCACAACCCAAATTGAAGCTACTCTTAATAGCCGGCCTATTTCGCAACTCCCCGACAATTCTGCGGATTTGCAAGCCTTAACACCACGCCATTATTTGATCCATCGTCCCATCATTGAAATTTCTTCACCGAATCTGGATCACCTTCCCGACAATCGTCTGGATGCCTGGCAACGATGCCAACAATTGGTGGAACATTTCACCAAGATATGGAAGCGTGACTATTTAACGACCCTACAACAACGCACAAAATGGTATGAAGAAATCCCAAATCTTCAAGTCGGCGACATAGTCATCGTGTATGAAGACAACACTCCTTCATTGCGCTGGCCCCTTGGGAGAATCACGCAAGTACACCCAGGAGCAGACGGAAGAGTCCGAGTAGCCACAGTGCAGACAGCAAGGCCAGATCGTATCGCAGAGCCATCACCAAACTCTCCAAATTGCCGATCATTCAACAATCATCTGAGAATAATTGAGTCATTTCCTCAATTATTGGGGGAGAATGTCGGCGCAGAAGTTCGACAATGGTCGATAAGTGTCAAATCTTTCGTTAAAAAAATAAAAAGAAGAAGAAACTTCTTGAAAATTTTGTCGCGGTCATTTTTCGCCAGATCCAGCTCATTTTGTACATTTTAAAGGTAAATTGGCCGCTACATGTTCTCCTGCGGTTATACGAGAAGTCCCAGGAGCAGAATGAGACTTCTGCGAGTGATCTTGAGGTGCCCCACGAGATGGAGATCAACTTCTTCTAAGGGCGAAGAATTTGGGAATTCCATTCAATTAAAGATATCTTCAAAACTGAAAATGTTAATGGCAAGGATTATGCATGACATAATAAAATTGGGATTATCGTTGCCTCAACACTGTAAGGAAGGACTCTCAGGGACTAGATAGCGCGCATGGAAAGAAATTATTTTCCGTCTCTGAGCCTCTTACGCGAGCGCAAGAAAAGAGATGCTTATATCTCAGCAATAATAAGGAAAATTATCTATATAATATTAAGAACAATTAAAATAATTATTCTATTATCCATTTCCGTGTGCCATCGATGGCCATTTGATACTTAAATTGCATTAAAATCTTAAAATTGAGACATCGAGCAATCGTGTTGACTCGATGTTCTCATGTCAACACGAGTTGATTGATTTTGAGTCAATTTTGACTCGGTTTCTCACTGATTTTTACTCAAGACTCGCAAATTTCTCAAAATCAGTCAATTTCCACTGATTCTGGTTTTGACGAATTTCAAGACTCAGCCCTCAGGATTAAACGATTGTGAAATAAAGAGGCCCATTGAGCCCAAAAACGGTTCAAAATCTCCAGTTTTTTTTTTCTCCATTTATTACATGTTAAGAAAACGTCGTATGTAAAGAAATACATATTTTACCATGTAAAGAATTGTGCAAAAGTAAAAAAAAGTATCAAAAGTCTGTCCAACACACTGCGTGGAGGGGAAAAGCAGGCGCTGGCGTCTTGCGGACATCAGAGAGAGAGAGAGAGAGAGGATTTGGGGATGAATTTACTGGACCTCAATGAAGACATCCTCATCAGTATTCTGCAATTCCTGGATGTGAAGGAGCTGGAGAATGTCTGTCGTGTCTGTGATAGGTTGGCCGAGTTGGTGGATCGGTACTTCTTCTTCAGGATGACACTGGGTGAGTCTTTGGCTTTTTCCTGGGAGATTCACCCAGTGTTTCCTGGTCAGACCAGGTGGTCTCAACTTCTGCATTGTTTAGATCTTCTGATGACATGCCACAGGAAGACAGATTCCCTGCACTGCCTCCGGACACAGGGTGATGACATCCCATTCAGACGACGCTGGAAGTTGCACGAGAACTGGCGTCAGGGAAGGTATGAGGAGATAATGTTCTTTCCTCATCGTGTGCCATATTCTTCGCACATTCATCTGGAGCGGGATTGGTTGTACATGACACACGGTGGTCAGGTGAGAGTCCATCGGAGGCGCAGCAAGGACTTTCTCAAGCGATTCCCTGACATGTCATATGGAAATACACGAGATCCCGACATCACGGCCTTCACAAAGGCTGGAAGCATCATTTTTGCCGGCACCATGTGTGGCACTGTGCTCCTGTATGATCCTCAACACTGTTCCGGAATGAATTTCATCAGTCAGAAGATTGCCTCAGTCAAGGAGTACCTGAATTCGGTGGACTTTCGCAATGACATCTTCGTCACGACCACCAATCAGTCGGCAAAGTTGTGGCGCAAGGAGATAGAATTGGGTTTTGTCCTCCTGGAGAGCACTTGTGACCTCCAGGAGGCGTTCAAGTGTGTGAAAATCTCCCCTGACGGAGATCACATGGCCGCCGGACGGTATCGTGATCCTTGCTGTGCCCTCAAGCTCATCGATATGGCGACAGGTGTTGTGCAGCAGCTCAAATCCACCTCACATGCTGTCTATCACGTCCTCTGGCGTGATCACACCACACTGCTCACCGCCAACTTCGATTCCACCTTTCGCGTCTTCGACATCCGCAGCAACAGCGACGTGCAGGTGTACGAGGATCCGTACGACTCGTCAGTCTATTGTCTGGACTTCGATGATCACTTTGGCGTGCTGTGCGGCATGAAGCATCACGGCAGGGTGAATCTGTATGACTTGCGTGTGACCAGGAAGTTCGTGCAGATGTTCTATCCATCGCAGATGAACTCCTACGGCTCTCCAGTCTATGACATCGTCAGCGATGCCAGCCAGTTGTTCGTGGTGACAGACAGAAATCTGCGCCTCTTCAACTTCGACGCCGACTGGGCGGCGTACAGAGACTACTCGAGTGTCTTCAACTTCGACCAGTGATGGGAAAATGTGTGATTTCTAGAGGCAATATAGCAACGAAGAGATGAGAATAGAATGAGATAATTTTATTGCGAGAATTGCTCAACTGATTTTCCATTCTTACGATTTTCTTCTATATTCCATAAATCTATTCCATCTATTCCTGGAATATTCTTTCAAATAATTACAAAATATTCCCTCCAACGCTGATTTTCACATTGTAAAGTGTCGCGGACAATTTTTTTTTTCCATTGGAAGTTAAGTTTATTCACAGCAATCTGCACCAATTGTACAATAAGCTTTGCGTTAGATATCAGATAACAAAAAGACACAGTAGTCAGCTTCTGGAGCTGAAGACATAAGGTGTATGCTAGGGGTACGCAAGCTGATTTTAAACGTGGCCGTATTCCAATATTCCAAATATTCCTACAATATTCTATTCCTGATATTCCTCAAATATTCCTAAATTTTCATAAATATTCCTAAATATTCCTAAATATTCCAAAACATTCCTAGATATTCCTAAAAGGAGGAATATTTTGGAATATCCAGGAATAAATGTTTCGAACTTGCTTTAATTTCATTCGAACACGTCCAGATGGCGCGAGAAGCCACCCACGTGGAAAGACATGAACAAGATCCAATTGAAACATCCGTATAGGAGCGATAAAAAGTCTTTTAAAGTCTTTAAAAAGTGTTCTTTGGGGAAGTTTCAAGCCCAAGGATGAACATTAAAGCGTTAACAATAATGTTAGGGTATAAATTTAGAGTGAGAAAGGCAATTCAGAGCCTCAGATGGAGTATTAGAAACAATTCTTGAAGAGGAAATTATATTGAGTGTTTTGAAGGGGATTTTAAGCGAATACTGAGGGAAAATGCTAATATAAAGCGATAAAATGAAGGAAAATACACGAAAAAGGAAAGAGAATGGTAACAGTATTGTGAAAAAAGGCGGCCAGTGGAAGGATTGAGCCCAAGACCTCACGATCTAGAAGCCAGCTCTCTACCACTATGCTATCGCTCCTATACGGATGTTTCAATTGGATCTTGTTCATGTCTTTCCACGTGGGTGGCTTCTCGCGCCATCTGGACGTGTTCGAATGAAATTAAAGCAAGTTCGAAACATTTATTCCTGGATATTCCAAAATATTCCTCCTTTTAGGAATATTTAGGAAAATTTAGGAATATTTAGGAATATTTGGAATATTTGAGGAATATTGCAATACGGCCACGTTTAAAATCAGCTTGCGTACCCCTAGGATTGTAAAGTGTCGCGAACAATTGAAAATGCTTTAATTTTGTGAATTCCTTCCAATCTTCTATCCCATTTTCACTTACAGTAGCGAAAATTAGGTTAGGACACCCCTTGACTTGATTTTTGGACATTTACAGTACTGCAATCAGGTTTATCACTTGCAGAAATCTATTAAATCAATCAGATATCAATCAGTCTTCGCCTATTTCTCAAAAAGATCACACATTATGAGCCGTGGAAAACATTGTACGCCGGAATTGCGTCGCGGCATTAAAAGTGCGAAAGATCGCGGTTTAAGCATTTCAGCTACAGGCTGAAATGTTCGCAGTTTCTCGCAACATGGTGTATAATGCACTTAAGCACATTCGCGAGCATAATACTTTCGCCAATGTGACGAATGTGCGGAGGCGAAGAAAAACTAGTGACCGAGTGGATCGCCAAATCCGCATATTATCTCGGGCGGATCCTCAGCGGAGTGCCTCATCGATCCACCGGGAGCTGTTTGGTGAGCAAGAGGAGGGCATCACAGTGCAGACGGTGAGGAGCAGACTGCGGGAGGCCGGCTTATTTGGAAGAAGGCCAGCGCAGAAGCCATTGATTAGCTCAAAAAATCGCAAGGCGCGAATTGAGTTTGCTCAAAAATATCGACACTGGACCATTGATCAATGGAAACATGTGTTCTGGACCGATGAGACGAAGAACAACTTAATGTCTTCAGATGGAATATTTTATGTGAGGCGCCCAAGAAATCAGAGACTGAATCCTAGATTTTTGCTTCCCAACCGTAAAACATGGAGGTGGATCTCTTATGCTCTGGGGAGGCTTCTCCTGGCATGGAATGGGCCCGATCCACCCGTATCAAGGAGAAGATGAACGCAGATGTCTATGTGAAAATTCTCCAAGATGTCCTCCTTCCGTTTGCCGAAGAAAATCTGCCCATTGTATGGATCTTCCAACAAGATAATGATCCTAAACACTTAAGGTCTTAAGGTAGTTGTCTCGAAAATTGAAAGAAGTATCGAATTTTTAGCACCAAAAGGAAAAATGGCCAAAATTTCATAGGTGTCCTAACCTAATTTTCGCTACTGTATATTTGCATCCATTCCTTGATATTCTTTAATATTCCAGCTGAAATAGCGGAATTCGTTAGTCCATTCTTCGCTTGAGCAATTCTCGTTTTATTGTGATTCACGCTCCTCTGTTAACAAATTAAACTAATGGTTCTTGAACACTTTCTCTACAATTTCATTGTAAATAAAATGATTTGATACATCAAAACCATCATTCAGTGTCAGCTCCTTTAGTCGATCACTCCCCAGCGAGACAAAAAGCTAAGAAAAAAGCAGGTTATTCAGCTAAAAAGTTCTAAAATTTGAGCAGGACTCAAACAAAAAGTGCTCAGCCGAAGTATTTAGATGGAATCTCAAAGGAAGGAAACTCAATAATGTTAAAAATACATCAATTTACAGCACTTTTTGAAACTAATTTTTCATCAATTTTCTTAGCAATCCAAAAAACCTACAATATTCCATTTCTAAATGCTTCTTTCTCTGACTAATCATCCAGATTCGCTGAATTTTCTTCAATTTTCACGCAGAAACCAACGTTAATAATTATTTTTCTAGGTTATGTAACAAATTAAGGACAGATTTAGTGAATAATTCGCATTGTAGCACATCAATTCTGCTATTCCTTGGCAGAAATAAAGCATTTTCAAGCAATTAAGAGTGCTTTTCTTGATCCTTTGATGCCAAGAAACACAGCAAATTGTGCTAAGATTGAACATAACCTCAAAAAAATCATTTAAACTTAAAAAATGCATATTTTAGACAACTTTCTTGGCAGTTTTTACTATGAATCAAAAATTTTAGGAACATTGGCAAATCATAAGAGATGTTTTTGTGATCTGAAAATCTTTTGAAAATCTCTTAATTATATAATTTGAGGTTATGATGAGAGAAAATGTCCAAAAACAGCGGTTTTAAATCGAATCATCTTTAGCATACATGAAAAGACGCAGCCTCGAAGCCAATCTTCTCCAGCATTGTTGATGAATAGCAACAAAAGAAGCGATCCAAGGCGGCTGTTCTGTGTCACTCTCTCTGTCACCTTCGTGTCAGAAAGCAGCCAATGACAGTAGAAAGAAAAAAAAACATTGCCTTCTTTCGTGATAACAAAAGGGAAAAAACATGTAATATTTATTTGTAAAATAAATATCCAAATTACAAGGAATCATCTTCAAACATCTTTTCTTTCTCTGTGTGTGTGAAATTACGCACAAATCTAGGCTTTTTCATCACAAGTAAAAAACAGTAATATAAAAAGCTGTCCCATTACAAAAGAAAAGACAAAAAAAAAAAACAGTTTGTGAAGAACGAACTTACAAAATAGTGTTGTGAATTAAGAAAAAATATTTGATCTAATTTATGCATCACGCCAAAGGATTTTTATTCGTAAGAAATAATATATTCTCACCGAGGATTGGCTCAAGTTAGAGAAAAGTGATTTCCATTCCACCGATTTTCTTATACATTCCACAATCCATTCCATTCCATTCATTCTTCGAAAAAAATTATATTCGAAATCGACTTAGATAGAAAGATTGTTGCACAAATTCCTGTGCAAATTCGTAAAGTCGCGGGTTCGATTCTCCTTCAGTTGTGATTTTTTTTCACTTTTCCTTCCTTTTTCAGTTACTTTCCTTCACTTTATCAGCTGATAAAGCTGGAAAGCTTTCTTTTCGCACTCAAATTCCTCTCTTTTCTGGTCCGGGAATACGACAGGAAGTCATTGTGTGCGCGAATTATTAAAAAGAATTCTTTGGGGAAGTTTCAAGTCCGAGAAAGGACATTAAAGCGTCAAAAAGAATGTTAGATGATGAAAAAAGTGGTATTTTATTACTGAAATTATTATTATTCTTATTATTTTTTTTTCATTTTAAGCCCACCTCCATCCCCTCAGGCCCTGGACTCGCTGAGTCCATTTCGGGCCGAGTAAAACCACTCGCACACTCCCTCGACATCCTACACTCCTCCGGCTCCAGGAGCGAGCCAATCATACCGTCCGAAGACAGGACAACCAGCCCGCTCCCGGACGCCACTCAACCAACCTCCCTACAACTCCACTCCGTTTCGCTTGCAGAATTTTGCCAGCGATCTAAACAACTCACCCCCATTTCTTTCCAATGCCGACGCGCACGCGTCTCGCGAGTTATTTATACCTCCGCTAGCTACCACAAGCTCGCATCTTCCCTCTGCTGCGTTCCCTGGCACATGTACAACATATGGTCCACATCACAATACGTATTACATTGTTCACACAAAGGATTCTGGACGATATTGATCCTGGCAAGGTGAAAATTAAGCCTGTAATGGTTACTCATTATTCGACTGCCCATCACAATTTCTTCCCTAGACCAAGGGGCATCAATAACTGTGGGAATAATGGAGTGGCATAGCCTCCCCAGTTCCCCGTCATCCCACTGCGTCTGCCACGTTTCCTCCGCTTTCTTCTGAATGCGAATTGCTAAATCGCCCCCGCTGATATCTGGTTCCCTAACTCCCAGGGCAACCATAGCACGCACAATGCCGCCAATTCTGTTAGCCGGCTGCCTTGACTCTATTTGGGTCATAGAGACCCACAGATCCGACTGTACTCGCAAGGATCGTGCCACGAATCGTTCTATGAGGAAGTTGTGTCTCACGCGAAGGGGCATAACACCGCTGAGAACCTCCACCGCTCCAGTGTGAGTGCTTCTCATCAAACCAAACACCAGACGTAACGCCTTCCATTGAATTCTTTCTATATAGTTTAATGAGGTGACATTGCGCCGCCCCTGCAAATGCAAAGCACCCGTATTCCAAAATAGTACGAATAGTGGTTTTATACAAAATCAACATTTGTCTCGGGTGTGCGCCCTATGACGTTCCAGCAATCGCCCTTAAGAAGTTAATTCTCAGCGCACTACGCTTAACGATATCGTCTGCTGTGTGGCCCCCACAGACACTTTCGATCAAAGATTATCCCCAGATATCTGAATGATTGTGATTGCGGAACAGTGATGTCTCCAAGGTGAACATTCACCACTTTCTCTCAAGGCGAGAGCTCAAGGCCCAGATCATCGTAAAAACGTTCCAGGCAGTCACAAGCCATGCTGAGTTTGTTCTCAATAACCTGCGCACTGGAGCTCTCAATGCCCACACAACCACATCGTCAGCATACTGAAGGATGAAACATCCCTACTGAAATTATATTTAGTGTTATAATGAGTTTTTTTTTTGCGAAAATTGAGGGAAAAATGCCGATATAAAGCGATAGAGTGAAGAAAAATACTGGAAAAAGGAAAGAAAAGTGAAAAAAAAGTTGTGAAAAAATCACAACTAAAGGAGAATCGAACCCGCGACTTTTTCATCTTCTCATCTGGGAGATTTGCACTGAATCTTCAACATATCTTTCAATTCATGTGAATTTCAAGAATTCAAATATCTCTCTTGTTCACGTTCCTTTTCATTCCATTAAAATTCCGAATATTCCTTGTGTTTTTGATTTTTAATTTGATCCATTCCTTCTCATTCCCATCCATTCCTCCTCATTCCTTGATATTTTCCTGCTGAAGTTCATTCAACCCATTCTTCCCACCACTTGAGCAAATCCACGATTCTCACCGATAATCGATATTACAATAGAAAATAAAAAAAAAAGAAAACAGAGAAATAATTCTATGCGCCTCATCCTTATTCACCTAAAGAACTTTTTTTTGATAAATATCCCATCATTTTCATCACTCACGCACTGGAAACATTATTATTCTTTTTTCCACTCTTTTCTCTCCACACACAGCTTTTCCTTCTTTCTTTCTTTCTTTTTGTGCAATTCTCTGAGCATTTTCTGTGGGCTCAAAATTAAATCAAAAATCCTGAGTGTTTTTTTGTTTTGTTTTCTGTTTTTTTTTTCATGAAGCCGCGAAGGAGAGAGAATTTCTGCGCTGTGGAGAAGGAATTGTTTTTTGAACAAAGATTTTTTTTTATGTAAAATTCACAGTCTCATTCTGACACTTCATTGGTGTCATTGGCAAAGGAGCCACTCATCAGCTCCCCATTGAACTGCAGCAAGCACCCCACGGCCCCAAAGTAGCCCTCGTGCTCGAGGAAGAGCGCCTTCAGTGTACCATGACTCCAGTAGTCCATCGCGAAGGCCAGCAGCTTCATTGAGATGGGATTTACGCGCAAGAAATTGCCCACGAACACCACCCGATCGATCTTTTCATTGCTCGCGCACATTCTCGCGATCGAGCCAATGTTGTTCGTGATGGTGACCAGCGTGGCATTGGCCAGATCCTCCTTTGACACACTCGCGCGTCGCTCGCGTGAGTTCATCTGACCAAAGCTGGCGGCCACGAGGTCACCCGGCAGCCCGAAGCGCTCATAGTCACCGCCATAGATGTCCTTCACCAGCTTATCCACCCTCTTGTGGTCACCCTCCGTCGCCAGCTGGATGGCCTCCTCGAAGGTCTGACAGCCGGTGAGTAGACAGCACAGGCCCAGGAATGTGCCGCCGCCCAGACTCGTGCCGGATATCCGACGATAGTCATCTGGGCCACGCACCGTCAGCACACTCACGCCAGAGCCCACGTTCACGAGGATGAAGGGATAGGGTGTGGAGAAGTCGTATCGCTTCTTCGCACTCCTCCTGCAAAAGTCCAACAATACGAAGAAAAATGGAGTTAGATCACAGAAAGAAAAAAATAGTTGAAATAGTGAAAAAGCTTGTTAAACACGATAGTAATTGTTTTTTTTTCACAAAAACCTACAAAAAGTATGTAAAAAGAGGTGATTTTTCGTTAAAAACCGGACATTTTTACGAAATATAATAAATTTTTACAAACTTTTACGAACTTTTACCACCCATCAGTGATCACAGTTGCAAGTGCGAAAGAGACAAATAGATTTTAAAATTCACTAAATTAAGGACTAATCAATGAAGTACTGAAAACTTTGCTTCTATGCGTGCCTTTTATGACACCTTAGTTATCCTGGTTTTGTGTAAAGTTCGTATTGCGCATCGTTGGATGAAATTTCTGGACAATTTTGATTGATCAATGAATATTAGTTATTTGGAATATCTTTTCATGCAATAATAGCCACAATGCTAGATTTTGTGTCATGGCATGTGCACCATTCACCACATTATGGAACCCTTGTATCCTAGACAATGTGCAAACGCAATTAGAACCATTTTCCTGCCGAGCATCAATAAGAAATTACCGATTTTCTGAACCCTATAATAAGAAATTGACTAAAAATCACACTTTTCTAAAGAACAAAATGCTGTAATTTTCACGGCTACTTGATTGTTCTTGGACGATTGACTTGAAGTCCTTTTTTACACTTCATAGACAACTTGTGAACAGGATTTGGGCCGCGATTGTGCGTAAGAAATTAAGAAATGCATAAAAAACGTTAAATGATAGCTTAAAACATACAAAAGCAATTTGAAAAGTCCAAATCAAGGCGCTCTATGATGAAAATGTCTTTAAGACACTCCAAACTCATGAGTTAATGTGATTATCCGAGGCAGTTTTATGATTATAACAAGGATTTTGAGAAAAATACATAAGCAGTGTCCTAACGTAATTTTCCCTATCCTTATACGCATATCTCTCTGCATTTTGCAATATCTCAGCCCCGAATTGAAATATCGTCATGATCTCAACGCCTTTTGAAAGATCATTAAATTCTCATTATTTTTTGTCTTAAGGTAGTTGTCTCGAAAATTGAAAGAAATATCGAATTTTTAGCACCAAAAGGAAAAATGGCCAAAATTTCATAAGTGTCCTAACCTAATTTTCGCTACTGTATTTAGTATATTTGTCTCTTTTGCTTCGGTGGCAGCTCAATTTGTCAAAAAATGGTGGAACAGAACGCATTCGTGTCGTGAAAAGTGCCGTAATTCATCAAAAAATGCAGTTTTCACCGCGGAAAAGTAGTGAAAATGTACTTCATGTGCGTCTTCAAGTGTTGAATTGTGCGTCTGTGCACCAGACAATATTTGGTAAGTGTTTTCTACTTATCAATTCGTGAATTTCATCGTTTTACAATCATGGAATTTTTTCTGTTTAGGAAAAGACTTTTCCGCATTTTCACACTTCGTGTGGATGGAATTCAACCAGGCGTATTGTCCAGGACAACTCTACAGTGTGTCATAAGTCATCGAGGTTACAAAGAGGGATGAATTTGTGTGCTCATCTTCAAAGATGTGAGTTTATAAATAAGAATTCAAACATATTTCAAGTATAAATTAACAGATTTTCAAAAACTGCGCGGTCAGAAAGTCTCTTAGTCAGGAAATTAAGTTCAGTGATTCATGTTTTCTTAACTTTGATCGTTTTCTGTGTAAATATATAGGCAAATGAGGCGAATAGATAGTAAATAAGGGAAAAAATGTTAAAATTTAAGGTCAAAATGTATTTTAATTGATTTTTTTTTAAATATAGATGTCAAAAAATCAAACACCGTTTTTATATTAACCCAAAAAATTACAAACCCAAGAAGATCTTACAAAAAAATACGAAAATATGTAAACCAATTAGAAGGATCACAAAGGATTACAAACAGCAGGTAAAAATTGCAAGCACAAATTTTGACGAAAACTTACAAATTATTACGAGCAGATTTGGTAAAATGTGTCAATTAGATGATTTTGTAAAAAAAAATTTACAAAATCTGACAAATATTTACCCGGAAGACATTTTTACTAGCATGTTCGTAATTTTCCCATACGATTTCAGAAATTTTTTACAAAATTTAACAAAATCTTACTAATTTTTTCTTTCTGTGATTCAAATCTCCTTATAGCGATTACAGACTTGCCGCTTATGTACGAATCGGCGCGCACTCGGATCAATCTTCCGTGGATGAGCCTGTAGTGTGTAAAGGACAGATCAGCGATAATTCGTGGTTGATCTGCACCTTTACACACTCAGAGATTATTCTTCTTTGTCGACACTAGTGACACTGTGTTTGGTGTGTTCAGCTGTCAGTTAATTTGCATACGTCAAAAGAGTGAAATTTTACGTTAAAATTGCGAAAATTGATGACTCGCAGAAGAATTGAATGATTTTAATAACTCAGGAAATCATTTGCAAGAGATTCGGCCATTTTGCGCCTTTCCTAAGTCGTGCAATGTTTCGGTGCATTTTCGCACGAGCGCGCTGCCGTCGCGAACCCCTGAAAAATCGGCTGAACCTTCGATATATCGAGGGATTATTCGCGCTTATCCTCCCGTGGATCATCAGCAAGTCTGTAATCGTTCTTATTCATTCTAAATAATACTAGAATTTGAGCCCAATCCGTGCTCTGGAGGCTGAACAAATGATGAAAGTGTGTTTTAGATGTGTTCAAAATGGCGGACGAAACTACAGACGCGAAAAAAATGGTCTTCTTCACCATATTAAGACACTCTGAATCAATTTAAGTTGATTTTGCTATGTAAATTTCAGCAAAAATCATATCAAGTTTAAGAGGCGGGGCTTCAAAGTAGGCGGAGCATTTGAATGACCTTCAAATAAGCCCCTTATTTCACTCAATAACACTTTTCACCATTGATCTTCAACCATAATGACTCTCATTGTTGAGCCAACAATGGGGCAATTAAAGTGCGACATAAACCTCCTTTTATGATTCCAACATCATTCCATCAATTGCTAATTAAACGAACTAAGGCGTCAAGAGAGAGACATAAAAAAGGAGAGACAAAAAGCGCAAGAATGGCAGAAAAGTTTTGTGAAAATTGCTCAATTTCACAAATTCGCGAGGAAGTTCCGAGAGTGTGTTTTAAATAAATATTCGCGCGACAGCAACACGTGAATATTTATGGAAATATACAACACATTAAGCATGAATTTCCCTCGCAATTTACATCACAAAAGAAGCCAACACACACAACACACACACTCCAAAGGCATTCAATTCAAATTGACGTGCTTTTATGACCTGAGATTTCTTCGTTCAAGATTTTTGATTGAGTGTTTTGTTTCACGCGTCAAACACAAGAGGCTCAACAGAGTTAATCTCACACACACAAACACACAGAGACAAAACAGGGGGCATTTCAGGAGACACTCACGTGATATCCGAGGCATTTTCCCAGTAGTAGCACTCATTGAGATTGTGCAGATCCGTGAACAGGATGCCCTTGATCAGGGCGTCCAGTTCGTCGAATTTGGCCAACTTCATGTTCACCTGCTCCTTGAAGTCCCGCTCAAATTTGAAGGCACCGCCGCCAGTGGCGCACACCGTCGTCACCAGCTGCGCCATGCCCTTGGCTCTGGCCAGCGTCAGGAAGTTTCCCATCTCAGACGTGGGGAAGCGAATGAAGTGCAACGATCCGCGGCGTCCGCGAATCTCCACATTATCCATCTGGCGAAAGGTAAAAAAAATCACCACGCTGAGCAACCGAATTCCCCATATATTCCATCTATTCCTTTCCATTCCATCTATTCCATCCATTCCTGGAATATTCTTTCGAATAATTACAAAATATTCCCATAATTTCCAATTCAAGCTTGAATTTTATCGAAATCATCATTGACAGAAAGATTTTTTGCACAAATTCTAGCGAAAATCTTCCACATAAGAGAATTTAGCATAAGATCTTAAAGTGTCGCGGGTTCGATTCTCCGTCAGTTGCGTTTTTTTTTCACTGTTTTTCACTTCTCTTTCAATTTTGATGATTATTTTTATTCACTTTATCACTTTATATCAGCATTTTTACCTCAATCTTCACCTAAAACTCTTTGAGAAGAAGAATTATTTCCAATTACGCCATTTGACGCTCGGATTTGCATTTATTTCACAAAGTTTTTCCCCTAACATTCTTTTTACACGCTTTAAATCTGTTAAAATTGCAATTTCGCGTCCTTTTCCTTCGCAAACTGTGTCGTCATGAGTTCGAATCCAGCTCGTGGCAAATTTTTTTCACTTATTTTCCCTTTTTTTCGTCTTTTTCACACCACAATTTAGCCATTTATTTGATATTTTACTGATTTTGAGTCCTTTTTCATCATATTTTTGCATTTAATTCTGCTTCTGAAGAAGTTCTTTACCTGCAAATGCGCATCACGATGTCCAGTCTTGCCGTACGCCGAATGCTTTGTGAGATATCGTCGAATATTCCTCAAGATCTCCGCCTCCTGATCCAATTCATCGGGTGTAATGTCCTTCGGTTCGAAGTACACCAATTTCGTCAGTGTTCCACCAATGTCCATTCCAAACCACGGCATGGCTACACAGAGAGAGAGAGAGAAGGAAAAAAAAACCCATGTTTATTACACTCCAACTTCTCTTTGCCCACCTTTATATTTCCCTATTCATCAATTGAACTCATTAAAAATTCCCTTGCTTAAGCAATAATTGTCAAACACACACACAAACACACGCAATTAACGCAATTCAATCAACCTTCGACCTATTTCGCCCCAGAGTCTCTCTCTCTCTCTTTAAATCGCACTCCACGGCAACTTTTCGTGCAAAATCATCCGACAAAATTGCATAAGATTTCACCCCGTGCGGGAAAAGTGCCTTTGACCTTAAGTCCACCCGCGACTTTTTTCTCAGCACCGCGCAAAATGTGGGGAAAAAAAAGTGCTCAATTGCTTGTCTCATGGCATTATCGGGTTTTCGTATTAAATATGAGCGATAGTGAAGTGTTTATGTCTGGGAGTGTTCATATATGAGTGCTCGAAAAACATGAGATCATGTCGTGATCTCGCGAAAATTTTCCCCACAAAAAAACAGCAACTTCCTAAAGGAAAACGGGGTTATAATTGTATGAAGGACGAAGTTTTGGGCACTCAATGAACTTAACACTCAATTAATCTGCCTTTTGGCAGAATTCACATTGAATTTGAAGAGTTTCTGGACTTGGAAACTGCCTCTAAACACAGTTGTGATCATCTAAGAGCGATTACAGACTTGTGGGTTATCCTCGAATCGAGCGCTTGACTTAGAGAGGTTATTCTTCTTTGTCGACACTAGCGCAAGTTTGTACCTGTCACTGTCAGCTGTCAATTCATATGTTTATGTTGTCAAAAAAAATGAAAGATTCGCAGAATTTAATGATTTTAACAGCCTAGAAAATCATTCTGTCAAATGTTTCGACGAATTTCAGTGCGCTGCCATTGGAAATCCCAAAAATACTGGATAATCCTTCGATTTATCAAGGGATAATCCGCGTTTTAGCGGTCTCTAGAGGATACTTAGTGAAGTTCTGAAGACTGAATCGCGATTTTCACCGCGTCACCCTCATTGCTGCCTCTGTTGTCAATTAATCCTAACAGCGAGAATCTCATCAGGAGGAGAAGGCCGCCATGACAATGGCATTCCCGCCACAATATCTTCAGGGATACCAATTGGGCAGGATTTGGTTGGAATTCGACTTACATTAGACAGTTTAAGGCCACAGACAGATACTGTGAATGAGGTTTAACTCACATGCCACGCATCCGTGACACACGTTTCGTTCACGTCGTGATTGCATGATTGCATGTGCGTGAATTCACCGATATTTTTCCATAAGGACAGAATACATTCATAGCAACAGAAATGACAGCATTTAACAACTAAATTGTGACCTTAAAACTCCCTAAGAATCTTCTAGCATTAACTCTTTGTGTGCAAAGGGTAGATCAACCGCAAGTCTGCAATCGCTCTAAAAGTCTGTCAAAGTATTCTTGAGAAAGACTCACAAAAACCTTCAAATTAACCTTAAAACTGAAAAAATGGAATTAAATCCGCCGTTAGTCAATATTTTCTCTTACACAACTCCCAATCCTCGAAGCCTGAGTCCTTCTCTCCAAAATCATCCTCCTCTTTGGTGTCTCTCAGTGTCTCCTTGTCCTCCACAATCTCCAGATACTCAGGCAACCACCCACCGGCCGCCACACTCTTGCCCCTTCGCCGTCTCTCCCTGCGCGTCCTCCTCACCAAGCACCTCACTCTGGGCCTCAATGGCATCTCGGCTCCTGGAACAATCACGAACCTCTTCACACACTCTCTATCGCTCACTGGCCGCAGATCATGCCAAACTGAGGGCTTCAGGCACTCTGATCAATCGATCGCCCGAGATCTCTCGAATGCCACAAAACGTGCGCAAGTCGCGCCAATCAGAAGGTTATCGGGTTTGGAGTTTGTCACTCTATCGTTTTGTGCACTTTACTCATTGAATTCTCATCTCACAGCGTGCGCGCGCTTCAGTGGAAAAATGCTTCCCGGAAAACTCTATCTTGAGTTTTTTTCTTGTTCTTCTTCTTGAACACTCAGTTAATTTACAGGCTATTTGAAAGAGTATAACTTGCAATCATTCACAAGTATTTCTTCATTTCTCACTCTCTCTCTCTCTCTCTCTGTCTGTGCGTCTTTTAGTGTTGCATTGAATCGAAGAGGTGTAAAATTTGGACTCAGCGACAAAAATATAGCTTGTCCAGCACAATCTTATCGCAATTTGGCACTTTTTCTTCAACCTCCACACATCACATCAATAACCATATATATACACACTCTTTATTAAATTCATTCGCGCGCGCGCTCGCTGGAGTGAAGAAAAATCCAGACTCTGTGATCGCACACACAGTTATGAAACCGTCCTCTTTTTACTTTCTTTTGCAGCTGGCAACAAGTGTCTATATGGACGTTTTCACACGGACTTTTCCGTTTGTCGAGTGGCAAAAATCACGCGCGCGCCTCCAAAGTCAGAAAGAAAAAGGAATTGTTGTAACTTATATTTTCTGCACGATCAACAACAACACACAAATCCAGCACAAATTTCACTCGCGATGCTGCCACATGGAAAGTTCTTGCCAAACTGACGATCACCAACGATTCGTCGCTCGGTTTTTCGCACTTTTGTGTGGTTTCCAAATAGGGGAGAGTGGGGCAGATTGGGACACAGATTTTAGTATTGACTTCGAGTGAATTTTACAAAAAAGATGAAATCTTGGAGGAAAATCCTATTCGGTCTATTGAGTTCTCTTGCTAATATAAGAGCTTCAAAAGGCCACTTTATTCCGGGTTTGGAAAATGCAAGGATTTTCTACAGAATGAGTTTTCCTATTTCGAAGCATAGTGTCCCAATCTGCCCCACAGTGGGACAGGATTGGGACGATTTTGGGGCACATTTGGACAGTATATATTTTTAGTCTAATTAATCAATAATTTTTCAATTTCAATTTATTATTATTTGAGCAAAACTTAGAGCCTAACCCTCATACAATTTGCTAATTAGAGAGAAAAGAAAAAGTGGAAAAATAGAAACTAAGAATCGACAAAGAGTAAGAACATTAATACAGATAAGTGAGAAAAGAGAAAAAAAGAAAAGAAAAAGAAATGAAACTTTAAAACGTTTAGCTATCAGTCAGGATGAGTCACTGATCAGATCAGCAGCCTGAAAGTGCTTCCTGATGCCCCCCACGGTCTCGCGCGCCTCACGCGGGAGGACATTGTAAAGCGAAACCCCCCGGACAAAGAGGGTACGAAAAAAAAGTCTTATGCTCTCTCTCTCAGCTCGAGGAACAAAAAGTCCCCGGAACCTGGTCGAACCACCCCTCGTCAAGAGTGAAGCCAGATATCCAGGGCAGCCGCTGATGGAAAGACGATCTAAGAAAGTTAGGGCTCGCATTTGCACGAAGGAGGACAGGCTGCAGCCCACCAGCACATCCGTGTGGGCAGAAATATGATCACGGCGACCCAGTCCGCAGACGCGCCTGACACAATTGTTAAATACTACAGTCAGCCGACGGACTATCCGCCAGGAAGAAAAGCTCTGTTCCATAGGAAAAGAAAGGCATGATTAGCGCTCGCACGAGAAGCAACCGAGTGTCGTAGGGCGTGATGTCCCGATAGCGTCTGAGGACGTAAAGAGAATAGTTGACCTTGCGGCAAAAGAAAGTGGCATGATCAGACCAGGATAGCGTCGAATTAAAGACAATACCAAGGTTTTTAACCTGATCCGCATAAGGGATAACATCAACCGTTAAGAAGAACGGTGAAATAAGGAAAGTTAGCACTCCTTTTTGAGAAGATAATTGCCTAATAATGAAGCAAAAATTTGCAAACAAATAAAACAAACAAAAAAACTCAAACTTCAATTCTTCTCCTTCTTTCTTCTTTTCTTCGTGACTTCAACAGTTTTTTTCTTTTCTTTAATCTTTTCTCCACCCTTTTCTCTTTCTCTGGAGAACTTTGTTAGATTGGCGGATCTTTGACGTCTTACTTTTGCACCCTTACTTTTTGTTTTCAACATTTTCAATTACTGGAAGTGATTGAACAGATTGCGGCTGTCGCCGACTTTACTGTCGACCTCCCCGAGAAAACGGCAGAAAACTCAGTTCATATTATTGGTTTGTTATTCTTACAATGTTGTGAAGAGTGATCTTCTTCCCGGGGTTTTATTCTTGTATTTTCTCATGATTTGAGCTGTATTAGCCAAAACAATGATGAACAATAGAAAATCATTTCTTTAGCGATAATTGTCTAAAATTGACAAATAACCTAATTTTTCCGTGATATTGACTGATGATGATTGACTTGAAATTCACTTTGTCTCAATCTGTCCCATTTCTTTTGCATGACATTAATATTTTATCTGCAAAAACCACTTAGATTTTTCACAGAGCCTATTATGCAAGGGGGAAGTCACTCGCAAGTTGAGACCATTAACTTTATGATTATTTAATCATTTTTAAGATTATTTGTGATTATTATTCAAATGTTGATTATTTCATACAAAATTTTGATAATTTTTTTTATTTCTTACTGAATATTTTATTAAAAATCGATTATTTAATACGAAATTCTGATTATTTTTAAATTATTCTCTGAATATTTGATTAAAATTTGATTATTTTTTGAATATTTTTGATTATTTTCTGAATATTTTATTAAAAATTGATTATTTAATACAAATTCTGATTATTTTTAAATTATTTTCTGAATATTTGATTAAAATTTGATTATTTTTTGAATATTTTATTAAAAATCGATTATTTAATACAAATTCTGATTATTTTTAAATTATTTTCTGAATATTTGATTAAAATTTGATTATTTTTTGAATATTTTTGATTATTTTCTGAATATTTTATTAAAAACCGATTATTTAATATAAAAATTTTGATATTTTTAAATTATTTTCTGAATATTTGATTAAAACTTGATTTTTTTTTTAAATATTGTTGATTCTTTTATGAATATTTAATAAAAAATTGTTTATTTTATACAAATTCTGATTATTTTTAAATTATTTGTGATTTTAATTCAAATTTTGAATATTTTTCAATTTTACTTGAGAAAAAATTCATTTTTTTTTTTAAATTATTTAGTTCAGAATTTGATTATTTTGATTTTTTTCTTTGTTACATTACTTTTGAAAATAATAATTTTTTTTAAATATTTTATTTGCGAATTTGATTTTTTTTTTGCAATATTACTTTAGGAAATATTAATTTTTTTGGTTATTATTTTATTCAATATTTGATTATTTTGCAATTTTATTTTGGAAAACTTTCTTTTTCTGATTATTTTATTCAAAATTTGTGTTTTTTTTCAACTTTACTCTGGAAAAGAATTCTTTTTGGATAATTTTTTTTGTTGAATTGGAATTTTTTTCAATTTTATTTGAGAAAATATTAATTTTTTGATTATTTTAGTCAAATAATCGATTATTTGATTTTGGAAGCCTTCAGAGACCTTTGATTACGCGATGGTTTCATTCCTCGGTCTTTCATGGAGCTCGGATAAAAACCGCACTGTCCGCCCAATCTGCCCCACTCTCCCCTACCAACAAAAAGCGTGCGCGCATCGAGTGAATTCTCATCGCGAAACGGACGCTGACTTGAGAGAGGTCGAAACCAGAGTGTCATCCGATAGTGGGGCGATTCGCGTACACACTCGCGCAGAAACACGCGACAAACGAAAACTTTCAACAACTGTTTCTCCCCACGATCCATTCATTGGTCATCGTGCGCGCTCGATTCTCAAATATTCCAGCGAGAGACGCACCACAAACTCTCCTGCTGTTCCCCATTGAGAAGAAACTGACTATTTATAGGCCGCGCGCAATGTGTTTTGTAACACTCTGTGTGCAAACACTCATGAGCATCGTCGTCGCAGGCTTAATTGATGGATAAACACCTTCGCGAGTTGTGCGATCTTCAACAAAGCGTCATTTTTGCCCAATCATTTTTTCTCTCATGCGCCATCATCATCATCGCTGGGTGCGAAGGAGAAATTGTGCGATTCTCCACATGTGCCAATGCACGAGAATCGTCAGCGGATGACCTGCGGTTTCTCTTTTGCAAACCTCCAAATGTCCAACTGTTGTGTGACGCGCACAACCCAAGTAACACCAGTGTCATCAACATGATGTCTCATCAACTGCCCAATCATGTAATTGATATTATTGCAGGCATTCTCATGAACGATCTTCTCCTCAATACATCTATCTATCTAATATCTAATTAATGCTGCATCAAATTTAATGCAGGACTAAACGATTGCGGCATAAAGAGGGTCAATGAAGTTAGCAAGAGCAATATTAGAGTTCTGAAGAAGCGCTAAAACAGGGAATTGCAAAACGTTCAAATGTCGTGTTCAAAACATAATTTTTAGATATTTATTAGTGTGACAATAGGACAAGGTGTCCTCTCGGATACAAATGAAGTTATATAAAAAAAAAACAAAGAAGTTTAAAGTGCAAACTTATATGCGAGGAGCTGTGACGGTACTTTGGAATATCAGCTCCCTCTTCCACTCACGCGGCAACATGTTCCAAAGGACAATTCCCTCAACAAAGAGTGAATTGTGGAGAATGCGACTCCTCGATCTCGGCACACTGAGAGAGGAAGACCCCTGACAGACGATCCGGCAGCCAAGAGCTCCACAAGATATCCAGGCCGGCTCATAAGAAGTAGCCGCGAAATAAAATCGACGGCTCTATCTTCAATATAGCTCAAGACTGGCGTGCCCAGTATCGTGCTCTCATAAGGAGATACATGATCAAATCTCCGCAAATCATGGACATATCTCAGACAGGAATTAAATGCCTTTTTCAAGCGATCACGGGTCTCCATGCTAGCGCAGAAGAAGAGCTCCGCTCCATAGGTGAAAAAGGGAACTATAAGCGCTCGGACCAACAGGAGTCTGAGTGCCACTGGGTGTGAAATATTGGAGGCGTCGCAACGTACGCAATGTAAGAAAGACCTTCCTGCAGATCTCAGAGACATGGTCACTGACCAAGTCAGTGAACTATTGAAAATGACGCCCAAATTCTTGATTCGATCAGAGAAAGGAATGACTTCATCCGAGAGATAAAGCGGAGATGGGACAGGACGTCTACTAGGCGATGCCCACTGAGTGACCCGGCGAAGATCATCGTTCATTGCCTCAAAAGCAAATTCGGGGGAATGAGGGTCCCCGAAGCAATAGATCTGCAAATCATCTGCATATAAGTGATAACCGCAGTATCTGAGACACTGCGGCAACTCATTAATGTACAGGGAAAACAAAATGGGTCCCAGGATGGAGCCCTGAGGAACACCACTGGTGTTCCTCAGGTAATAATTCCTCGATATATTCGATTCAGATAATTCCTCGATATATCAATCGATTGGACGATAACATCGGCACACAATCGATATTTTTTGAGGAATTCTTTCTAGTTTTTCATGATTTTCAATCTCTTTGAAGATAATAAATGTCAGAATATATTTATTTATTATCTCTAAATGCTTTTAAGCACAAGAATTCAGTCACTGTTCGTGGTTCCGGAAAGAAAATCTACATTTCTCAATTGTTTTTTTCTCTGAAACTCCCTTAAAGCCTTAATATGCAATTAATTAGAGTCTCTAGTATCGATTTCGATCGACCCCGAAAAA